CGTGGGTTTTGGAGCGTCCAGAATTTGCCCAGACCTAAAATGGCGATGTTGCCTTCAGCCAGTTCTCCGCGGTGCTAGCCAGCGCCTTGGAGGAGGGGCCGGGTCGGGCGGGGAGCTGAGGCGCGGGCGGCCTATGGGCCTATGACCCAGGGCCGGGCCTGGTCTGCGCGTGCTGCAGCCCAGCCTGTTCCTTACGATCGAGGCAGCCGAGGTGGGGCCAACCTCTGTGCAGGCGAGGCCCATCATTGTTCCAGAGAAACCCCAAAAATAAAAAGATAAAAGCCGGTTTGCTGCACAGGCTGGTCCCGTGCGCACCAGGAGGGCGAAAGCCCAAGTTGCTTTTTCTCTGCTTCGCCCGCCCAGGCTTTTCTGTGCAGGATGGAGGGAAGCAGCCCAAGCAATCCCACCTCCCCTGTCCCCACCCCCATCCCAGGAAACACATTTGCCCTTTCTCTTTTCCTAGCAGAACAAGTATGTTCCTCTGCAAGGCCATTTGCTGGTAGAAGAAATTTTAAAACAACAACAACAACAAAATTTTTAATGAGTCCTTTTAAACCACCATTCACTCTCAACTGGCAAGTGCCATACTAGCCGTGTGTTCAACAAAACTCACCCCTTCCCTGCCTTCTCCTCCTCCCCTATATGTAACTCTTACCATAAGGTAACAAAATACCACGATGCCTCCGCATCCTTCAACCTGATGACAAGTGATAGATAACGCAATTTCCTCCAAAACAGTTTCCTTCTCCTACATCATAATGGTAGACAACACACTGTCAACCAAACCTTTGTGGTTTTCATCGTTCAGCTCTGCTGGGAAATAGAAACCTTTTCCTCTGCTTGGTTTTAGCGAATTTTAAAAAGGGACAGAGAAAAGTAAAGTCAGTTTCCATAGCTGCATTTTGTCACCTTGATCACTTGCCTGTTCCCCAAACGTAGGCCTCTATCATTTAGGATGTACAGAGAAAAACGTGAAAAAATTAAGTTTTGATGTTTCTGGTTCCAAGGATGAGGCTTAATGAGCACTAACGTCTGATAATACAAGGTAAAAACAGACGTTTTCTGAAAAGGGCCAGATAGTAAATATTTTGGACTTTGTAGGCCATATGGTCTCCACAGCAGCCATTGATAATAGTTATTGAATAGGCATGGCTGTGTTCCAATAAAACTTTATGAACACTGAAATTTGTATTTCATATGGCTTTCACGTGTGAAAAAAGTATTACTTTTATTAACCATTTAAATATATGAAAAAACATTTTTAGCTCCTCGACTGTACAAAAACAGACAGCTGGCCAGTAGTTTATCTATCCTTGATTTATATTGTATATTGTAATTTAAATTCCATTTACAGAACTCAACTTGAACTTTTGCAAAATTTAGTAAATGTATGTCTTATGCTTTTAAGTTTCATTTACATATTAACTTGATTTTCATTTCCATGATTAAAACTTTGATCTGCTGAAATAGGGACATAGCATAACCTTTAAGATGTTAACACACAATACTTCTAACATAAAAACCATTCTTTGCAAAATTTGACTACAGTTTCTTCTCAAAGGTACTGAAATGTTCAGCTTGCCCAATTTATTATTCTTTCCCACATTTTCTTCTTTGTGGATCTGATTATTTGTGCTGTAATAACAAGTTCATATCATTACCATGTCCACAGCATTGTGCTGTTGCTATGAAAAAGATCCTAGGCTGGTGAGTTGTCCTCAAATTTAACAGATTTTTTTTTTTTTTTTTTTTTGAGATCGAGTCGTGCTCTGTCGCCCAGGCTGGAGTGCAGTGGCCAGGTCTCAGCTCATTGCAACCTCCGCCTCCCTCACTCAAGCAATTCTCCTACCTCAGCCTCTCGAGTAGCTAGGACTACAGACACGTGCCACCGTGCCCAGCTAATTTTTGTATTTTTACAAAATTACCCCCGTAAAGACAGGGTTTCACCATGTTGGTCAGCATGGTCTCATCTCTTGAATTCGTGATCTGCCCACCTCAGCCTCCCAAAATGCTGGGATTACAGGCATGAGCCACCGCGCCCGGCCAAATTTAACAGATTTTTAAGAGTTCACTCCTTTACCAGTGGTAATTTACTAAATGGATGTAAGCAAAAGTAGATCATAATAATCAGGCATATTCTTGGAGCTAAAGGAAACTATTTTGCTTTGAGAGACCATGATTATTTCTTGTATTTTAAAATTATTAAATGACAGATAAAAACACTCAGCTATGGAGACAAGGAAAAAATAATATTTTAAAGAAATTTATTTTAGAGCCTTTAAAATGTTACGTGTAGAGCAACTAATTTCAGTATATGTATCTGCTCTTAAGAATTTAGTTAAACTTAGGATGTATTGTATAGGGCTCAATTTTAAAAGTCAAATTCTTTATTTAAGACCCTTCTCTCACAAAAAAGCACAAAGTGTTATGGAATAAACCTTAGGTAAATGGAACTCATGTATCACAAATGGCTATACTAGTAATGTCCTTATGACAGTATGCTTTCATTAATTCATTCTTACTGCTTATGTTGCTTATGTGTATTTCATATTCACTGTGTATAAAGCAAGACGCTAGATTCTGAGGTTCTCAAATTAGGGTAATACATGGTCTGTGCTTGCAGTGAGCCTGTAGATAAGTAGAAGAGAAAAAGGAAAGGGGACTAATATTTGTTGTCTGCCTACTAAGTGTGCCAGGCACAGTGCTAGGATGAAATAATGTATATTGGCTCTAATTCTCACAAGCAGCCTGTGAGGAAGCTTTAATTTCACTGTTTTACAGATGAAGAAATAGAAGCTCAAAGAGGTTAAATAATTTATATCAAATCTGACAACCAGGGTCACAGAAATTTGGAGAGCTCGAGTTTGCTTGAGCTCTGAAGCCCATGATCTGTTCAGTACACCAGACTGTTTTTTGGGGAGGGGAGTGTGGTTCTTTGCTAGCACTTCTTATAGACAGTTTAGAGTGATAAATACCTAAAGGGGAAAAGAGATTTCTGCTGAGGTGGAGGAACTGATGAAGGAAATATTGATGGAAAGATGACATTGAATTGGACTTTAAAGAATGGCTAAGAGTAGGGTATGCTGAAAAGAGCGATGTGTCTAATTATAACCTTGGCAATCTGTTTTTGTATGAGATTAGTTTATATGTGAGAGATTCATTTTTTTAATTTTATGCATTAATTTTATATGCTCTTTACATAGAATTCTACAAAGGAGGCAATGATAATGATCTGTTGAATAGGATTTATATTGATATTCCACATTAAATCTATACCAGTAGTATATGCAAAAAAGTCAGGAGACTGTAATGGTAAAATGGTAAAATACTTGAAAAGCATGAAATGTACCCCCAAATAGCCAATATTTGATCTAAATGGTATTAGGATGAATATTCCTTTTACTGTCAATGATTACAAATAGGCTTAAAATTTGGAGTTTTACTGAGCCAATATTATAGTTATTAACTCTAGGGAACAGGATCTATATATAGGGCGTAGACCAGGATTCATAATTTGTTCCTTTTCTATCCCTTCTATAGAAAATGAAATGGTCTCCAGTTTGGCATTGCAGATGTCACTTTATTTTAATACCTACTATTTCCCACTGTGGTGGGTGAGCAGCATTATGATGCTTCACGTGAAGGTAAATCTAAGCTTTAATACTTTTGCTGCCCTGATGTTGTTAGAGTGTCAATAAAATTAAAGTTCTTAATAATTTTTTTCTATCTCAGATTAATGTTACTATATGTGAAATTTTACAAACACGTTTTGGCTTTTCTTTTTTTAGTACTCAATCTTGCCTGATTACTACAAATTCATTGTGATCACTGTTATCATCCTAATAACCTTAATTGAAGCCATCCGCTTGTATCTGGGCTACATGGGTAACCTACAGGAGAAGGTAAGCTCTTTTTTCCTCTCAGTGATAGATATAAATGAAATCAGTTTTCATAACAAGTAAAAGGCAGTGAGGTATGGCAGAAAGAGCACAGGCCTGAATTTAAGGGCTGACTCCAGCTTTAACACTTCTGTTACTGTGGTCTGTTTGCTTAATCTCTTGAGCCCTGGTTTCCTCATATATAAAATGGGAAAAATAATATTTACTTCACAGGTTGGTTGTGATTAAGTGAAATGATTTATATGAAGTATATGAATGTAGTAAACACTTAAAATTGATATTTTCCCTCATCAGTCTTGAAAATACATGGTCACTTAAACATATGTATCTGGATCCTGAATAAGAAAATGGGGTAAATTATAAATTCATTTCCTATGCCAGGCCCATGTTTTCTGCATCATCATGCTGCCTAAGTATTTATGGTTACCAGAGTATAGGGGTAATGCCTAAAGATTCCTGTGGTTTTCTAGGCCCTTCATAATAAGGCCCCACCCAGCCTGTCTTACTATAGGTTTTGTTGTTTTCTCACCCAGGCGTCCATTCCAGGCTGATGTATTGATCCCCAGTCATGCTAGTTTCACATGTTTGCTTACTTACCTTTTTGCCTCTTCCTCCTTCTCCACAACTTTAAAAGCCTACATTCCTGAGGTCTTTCACCTACCCTAATCACTGTCTTATTTCTTATAGCATTTAGTCTGTACTTCTGAATATTGCACTTAATTGTTTACTAACATGCAGTATTCTAGGATTGTTTTATATAAATTAGTTTTCTCATCTAGATTGTAAGTTCTCTGAGGACACGAACCATGTCATCCTTCTTTGGAATTACCCACAGAGCCCATCATGCAGGTTCACAGTAGTGATAAGTACTTGTTTATCTATATAAACAAACCTGTATTTTACTGATTTTTGTTACTCTTGATGTGTGTCATTACAGGTTCCTGAGTTGGCTGGCTTTTGGCTTTTGAGCCTTCTATTGCAGTTGCCTTTAATTCTTTTCTTGCTCTTTAATGAAGGCCTAACAAATCTGCCCTTGGAAAAAGCAGTACATATCATCTTCACTCTCTTCCTTGCTTTCCAAGTTGTTGTAGCATTTCTTACCTTGAGAAAAATGGTCAATCAGTTGGCAGTTCGTTTTCACCTCCAAGACTTTGACCGGCTCTCTGCAAACAGAGGAGACATGAGAAGGATGAGGTCATGTATAGAAGAGATCTGACCCAGTGTTGTTGAGTGAAAATCTGACAGATCATTCTAGAAGACTGTAAGAGCTAGGAAAATATCAACGATCTAACAATGAGAAAAGGGAAAAAGCAAGTGTTTTGAATTATATACGCTCTCACTCAGAAATTCCAAGGTTGAGGACAATGATGAAACTTTGTACAGTATATGAAACAGTGTATTAACCCTAAAACCTAGATGTTGTCCACCTGATGCCAAATTTCTTAATTTTTTGGATGTTGTCTTTTTTAGGAGTATAGAAATCTACGTATTGGTGGTTGTCATTTGCCTGCCTTCCTGTAATATTTCTGGTTAAAATCTGTAACTAGAGATGTGTACATTTCTTTAAAACTTGTTGGTTGGCCGGGCGCCGTGGCTCACACATGTAATCTCAACACTTTGAGAGGCCAAGACAGGCAGATCACGAGGTCAGGAGTTTAAGACCACCCTGGTTAACACAGTGAAACCTTATCTCTACTAAAAATACAAAACTTAGCCGGCAGCGGTGGCACACGCATGTAGTCCCAGCTACTTGGGAGACTGAGCAGAAGAATCTCTTCAATGTGGGAGGCAGTGGTTGCAGTGAGCCGAGACTGTGCAAATGCACTCTAGCCTGGGCAACAGAGTGAGACTCCATCAAAAAAAAAAACAAAAACAAACTTTTTGGTTATCCATGTCTTAGTTGCACGTCTGACCATGTTTCTTGACGTGGAAATGCCAGCCAGTGTTCCTGTGTATTTGACTATATTTATAAACCAAGAGACCAAATTTTTATGTCTGCTAGGGTTAAATTCTAACCCTAATATTAGCTGTCATACTGAGATTAAGAAGAAAACAGGTGGATTGCCATGGTATTTAGGAAATATTTTTGTCATAAAATTATAACTTTCATAAGACCATATTCAGTGTTTGTAATGGTGGTATACAAAATGCTTTTATAATAAATTATTAAATATTTAAGTTAAAGTATCAGCAACAAATCATCCTTGTCTTGTGCAATTCTTTTGGGCTATAGATTTGTTTTTTGTTTTTTTATTACTGAGTTGCAAGGGAAGGAAGAAAAACAAATCCTAGAGAGCTTTCTATGTAGTGGACACTGTAGTGGGCACTTTAACTTAGTGCTCGTGATTTCATCTACTAGGTTACCGTTCACCAAAGAACCGCTTCATACCCATTAAATTCACATGAGGCTTGATTTGGAAACCAGAGCACCTCTTAATACATATGAGAGCTAAGATGGCCAAAGGGACTATACTCATGATCCAAAATGAGTATGCTCCCTTGCTAATTGGAGAAATCTATTTTAGGAGATTGGGTTAAGAACAAAGTTGCTTGGGTGTGTCTGAACACATATTTAAGTGACTTGGATTGTCTTAAAGGATTTGATATTTCATTACAGGTTTTCTTTTTTTTCTATAGGGAAATGGGCCTTTATAAGTAATGTATTTTACCGAGGGACAGTTGTAGCTACATTAAAAACTGCCCTTTTCAATTTTCTTTTTTTATAATTCGTGCTTATCTTAGGATTTCCGGGTTTTGCTTTATTCATTCTTGTTTTGCTGAACTTCAAAAAATGTCTTCACTTCCCACTCATTCTTGATTTTTCCTGACTGAACTATGCTAATTTTATTATTTCTGCTCTTTAGGATTATATATAAAGTTCAGCCAAATATTTCTCCCTCCATCCAGTGGCTGATTAATCTTTCTCATACCAAAGTAGTCACTAGTTATACTCTTAATAATTTGGAATTTAAAATAGAATTCTGTTTGAATAGTTTTCTAAAACATATATGTTTGCATTTGTTTCCCAGATGGGACTAGGTAGATGATTCTATAAGATAATATAAAATTAAATCTACAAAGCAGATAAATTAGGGCATGATGGAGACTTTTCTATTTCAAGATTGTTTCCAGAGTTTTATTTTAAATAGCAGAACTTCTGGCACATTTAAACTTTAAGAGATTAATAACAAAATGTCAGTCATAATCATAAAAAATGTTTTAAACTAAAAAATTGAGAAAACGGATTTATCAAAATTTTCAAGTAATTTTGCTGTAATAAACATATTGCCTAAAATGCAGATATAGTAACAGTGGGGGGAAAAAAAGATAGAAAATTGAGACCATGACCAAGTCATTTGTTTGTTTTTCATGTGAACAATAAAACCATGATTTTTTTGTGTTAGGCTGAACGAATATTTTCCATTGGAATATACCTGGTTCCCTATATAAGTATATGAAAATCAGGGTAGAGATGATATTTACATGTCAGCACATTTGGGGGGTTAGGCAGTCTTTATTTTAATTTTATTTGAATATGTTTAGCCATCCTTAATTTATGTTATATCCTTCTCTCTAAGGATTTTCAACACTGTTCTGAAAATTTTTAATTAAAATGTTGAACTTCACAAATGTTTTGTCCTTTACATATTTTTTCTTCCAGAGGCTTTTTCTCATCAGAGACAAGATAGGCATAAATTTCTGTAAATCAAAATTATTTTTATTTTTTATTTTTTATTTATTTTCTTTTTGAGACAGAGTTTTGCCCAGGCTAGAGTGCAGTGGTGCAATCTCAGCTCACTGCAACCTCTGCCTCCCGGGTTCAAGTGATTCTCCTGCTTCAGGCTCCCGAGTAGCTGGGATTACAGGCACCTGCCACCACACCTGGCTAATTTTTTTTTTTTTTTTGTATTTTTAATAGAGACAGGGTTTCACCCTGTTGGCCAGGCTGGTTTTGAATTCCTGACCTCAAGTGATCCACCCACCTCAGCCTCCCAAAGTGCTGCGATTACATATAGGCATAAGCCACCACACCAGGCCTAAATCCAAATTATTTTAAAACATCGAAACTTATTAATTTAACATACACTTGAATGACTAGTATATGTAAGGAATAGTCAAAGGTTCATAGACAAGACATGCTCCTGGTTCTCAGGGATATGATGTGGGAGGTAAAACATTTGTACAACCTTAAGACAAAGTAAAAAACCGTAACTTTATCAGGGAAGTGCACTTGAATGAGTTTCTACCTACTAAGTACCTGACAAGTAACAGGCCCTTGGCTTCCAGTGCATCTTCCATCTGTGTTCCTAGCACTTAGTATCCCAGGATTAAGCACATTAGTCCTACATCAACACCATTTAGCATTCACCGTGCTCCACATTGTCTGAGGGAGGTAGATGGTATTCAGGTTAAATGAATACACACTCAATCCCACTTGCCTGTGCAAACAAGAAGTTCACTGTCTGGTAGAAAAGGCAGATAAGCAAATCTGGCAGAAAAGGCAGATAAGCTATAAGTGATAGCACAGTGTGATGGGGCCCTGTAGGATTACAGAGAAGAGACATCTAAATGACGAAATCTGGAAAGCCTTCCCAAAGAAAGTGACACTTGAGATTTGAAGAATGAGTAGGTATTAAATTCAATGTTAAGAAACAAAAAATAGTGACTGTGAGTTCTGTTTCAACTACTATAACTAGTTTGTTGAGGCTAGTGGAAAGTGTGCATGAGAAGAAATCGTGCAGAATAAGGCAGAGAAGCTTGGAAGGTGCTAGCAAGCCTGTCTACAGCTTTGAATATATTCTGACTCCCTGAATAAACAGTGGAGTATCACAAACAGAATTAGGTTTCAGAAAGACCTCTTTGAAGACAATGTGAAAAATGGATTGAAAGTGTTGGACCAGAGGCAGAGATACCAAGAGGAATGTAATTAAGTAACTTAGGAATGGATAAAGTCAGTGGCAATAAAATAAACTTGAATAGAACCTACTATAGCGTTTTAAAGATAATTTCGTATTTTAAAACAGATATTAGGAGAGTTTTTTTTCTAATTTGTCTTTTCAGAGATTACCTATAATGGTTAACTAAATTATATATTCACTGCCTTTCTTATCTCCTATCTGCCCCACACCCACAGTTATTATTTTTTATTGTTTTTTAGAGACAGGGTCTTGCTCTGTCACCCAGGCTGGAGTGCAGTGGCACAATCATAGCTCACTGCAGCCTCCAACTCCTGGGCACAAGTGATCTCACCTCAGCCATCCAAGTAGCTAGGACTACAGGCACGTGCCACCATGCCCGGCTAATTTTTAAAAAATTTGTAGAGCTGAGGTCTCACTATGTTGCCTAGGCTGGTCTTGAACTCCTGGCCTCAAGCGATCCTCCTGCCTCAGCCTCCGAAGGTGCTGGGATTACAGAGGTGAACCACCACACCCAGCCATTAGATTATTATTAGACTTAAATAGAGCTCTATCTGAAATAATCTAAGTTTTATTTGACATAACCTAATTAATGATTCTTTACTTGAATTACGTTTAGAGTTTTTAAAAACTCAAAAGGAACAGAATCACGAGATTCTGAGAGTAAAGAAAAATCGTCTATAATTCTACCACCTTAAAATAACAACTATTAGCAAATGTCATGTTTCTTTGACATTTTTACTTTGCAAATAGTTTTTTAAAAGAAACAATTGTGATCATAGGCACTTATAATTGTGCACCCTGCTTTTCTGAAAACCTTGGATGTATTTGCCTATGTTTCTACATAGTTACAAAGTCATCATCTTAAATGATTGTGTGTTATTTGATCAAGTAGATGGACCGTAATTTATTTAACTTCTCTCCTATCATTAGATGTTTCTGTTATTTACTTTTTCTTTTATATATAACATTGTAATGAACATCTCATGCATATAGCTTTTTTCATATCTTAGACAATTCCTTTTAATTAATAAGCCAGATTTTTGGAAGTGAAATTGCTGGGTCATAGAGTATGAACGTTTTTAAGGCCAAAATACCAAATTATATCCACTTTCTACCATTTACCACTTACAATTCTAAAAATAGTACAATGAAAATTCTGACAAGGACAGATTTGTGGACTTTAGTTACCCATTTGTCTTTGTATTTCTGAGTAGCTACCGCAGGAACACTGAGTCTTGTGAGAA